TTTTTTTTTTTTTTTTTTTTTTCTGTTTTTTTGTTTTGTATACATAGTTGCAAAAATGATTAATGAAACAAGTAGAATGAAACAAAACTAAGAAAACTAAGAATTGAAGAACCTAAAATTCAAGATCTAACAAAACTAGAATTAAGAAACAAGACAACAAAATAGCTAGAGTTAAGTGTCTAATATTCAAGGTTTGAAGAATAATGCAAAAATACACCCTTTGTTCGACACTTAGGATTCTATTGACATGGTTAAGTTAAGGGCATGACTCTATTACCATGTTAGGAATCACAAACCTCCACAATGGTATGATATTGTCCATTTTGAGTATAAGCTCTCATGGCTTTACTTTTAGTTTCTCCAAATCCTCGTACAAATGGAGATAGTATTTTTTACTTAAGAAAAACTCACGATCTTCCTCTTAATTAGCTAATATGAGACTACTTCTCTCAATAATCCTCAACAATATATTGGGCGAAATACTTTTTTACAAGGGGAATGAATGGAAACCACTTCAATGCGGCCACTTGGGAATGGGTCGTGAAATTCAACTAGCCACACGCTTCCACAAAGCTTGGATCAAATTCAAGAAAAGGTGTAACCTTATGGACGTGTATTTTGATCGAAAACAAGGTGTGTTGAGCCTCTCGTTCATTGAAAGGAATGCTCACATTGAATCAGACTTATTGAACCCGATAGCATTCGAGAAACTTTTTCAAATCGATAACATAGTAGACTCTTTCGTCATCTTGATGGGTAATCAAATAGAGAAAGTTGAGGTAGACTCATTCGATCGGCGTGCCAAAGACGAGGTTTTGGGCATGTGGGGCCACTACACTTACGTCTACAATTCAGTGAATGAGCATTGTAAAAGGTCATGGAGAATATGGTGGACAACTCTCAAAGATGTCAACTTCGAACGTCGTGGACCATTATCTCTACTCTTTCTACTTTTATTGGTTTTGAGCATTTGTAAAAGGTCATGGAGAATATGGTGGACAACTCTCAAAGATGTCAACTTCGAACGTTCGTGGACCATTATCTCTACTCTTTCTACTTTGATTGATTTTGCGTTCCTTATTTGGAACCCAAACCGTATACAAAGTATATGGCTACTACCTCACACCTTGATCTTGATCCAACACCGCTCATATGCTTTGTTTTCAACACAGTTTTAATTATTCTGTTTTCTTTTTGTTAGTTTTTGTGTGTTTATGTGGCGATATCCTCCCGTTGGATTTGACACAATCCAAATATGTGGAAACAAGTAAAAGAAGCAAATAAATAACTTGAGGAGAGAGATCTTTTTGAATAAAGAGACCTTAAGCACTTAGCTTTTCAATTCTGTTGGTTCTTGTAATTGTGAGAAGTGCATACATCTCATGAGTATTTATATTAAAGAAAATACCAACTAGCTAGTTTCAACTTTCTCCTAAAGTTAAGAACCACTGACCATCTTCATAATTAAAGCACTAAACTTCGTCCACAATTTGAAAACTACCACCAATTCTCCTATAGTTGCTCTTAGTAACTTATTCTACTAATTCTACGAAAGTTACTCCATAAGTTAGTAACTTATTCTACTAAGTCAAGTTTATTAGCTCACATGTCCAATCTACAACATTATCTTCATGATCTCTGACTTCAAAAATCTTTCTTCTAAGTTCTAAAGTTGTCTCCAAAACTCCCCAATTCATCATCTTTCTTGTATGTACATAGAAAATCTTCCAAAATTGCATTCCAAAACAAGATATATGTATAGGAATAGAAAATGTGATAGAATTTGCCATATCATGCAATTCATCTCTACAAGATGGTGAACCAACAAAAGATTATTAATCTTATCGAGTGAATATAATATTATAACAAACAATATTTAGATGGAATGATTCAAGCCGCATAAAATAATATTGACATATTTTAAATTTAAGTTTTACTACCAAACACAATGTAGAAACAATGAAAACATGGAATTCGATTTTTGCTGAGTCAATTAAGTTTATGTTCAAAATAGGTGAAACATCGATATAACTGAGGACAGATTTGAATAATAAAATCAAGCAAATTTGGAGCTAGATAGAAATTTGGCTAAGGCCAACCAAGTAAGTGGCCTCACTATAGGATGTGCTAGAAATTGTATGAGTTACAATTTATGATGTATGAGTTATGATAATGTATGAGTTATGATGATGTATGAGTTGTATCGTATGATACCGTATACTAGTCTATGATGATGTATGAGTTATGATGCTTGAGTTAAGATGCTTGATGATGTGCGTAATATATATAGTTTGATATATAACGTACTTGATATGCTTGATGCAATTTATGATGATATGATGAGTATGATGATTGCATGACGTTTGTCTTAATATGTTGATGTTTTTCATATTAAGCATGCTATATGATGATAAATGCTATATTGCATCATGCCAATAGACCGACATAGGACACAACCCTAAGAGCATGAAAATGATATTAATATAAATATCCAATGAGCATGTGTTACTTAATGTAACAAAGAGAGGAGACTAGAGGGTTGTGTCAGAGGAGATGATAAGATGGAATTTAGAGGGACCTCATGCATATTGTATGTTCATAAGCATAGGAAAACTTTTCTAGAGACGATTAGTGTGAACACGCACATTATGATGATGAGGGTGTTCATGGGGAGCAAGACACCAAGGGGTTCCACTGACCTCCGAACGTCGCTACATATTAGCTTGACTAGAGAGGGTCCAGGGGGTGTGCGAGCCCCCTGAAGATTCACACTCACATATGCGGGTCGTGTGTAGAAGTACGATACGTTCATATTAGTCTGAGACTGAAGGCCACCCCTAGAGAATAGAGATAGGTCCCAATGATTGAATAGAGATAGAGGGTGTTCAAATGATTGCATGTGTTTGCATTTGCATGATCCCATATAGTGGGGTCATTTACTAAGTATTCTTTGAAATACTTCGGCTGTGTGCCACATCATTTTTCAGGTAAAGGCAAGGCGCACATGTACGGAGGACATCGACATCGCGAGCAGAGACTGTGACACGTGCATAGGATAGACTCATATTTAAATTCCTAGTCTTAGGTTAGAAAATGTTGTTTTACATTTCATCGTTTAAAATTATTTTGTACTTGTTTTTTTTCTTCTAAATTTCAGTATTTCATATTTAAACACGTAAGAGTATGACTAAGTTTTCAAGAGATAAAAGTTGTTTTAAAAATGTTTTCAACATTTAAATTGCAGTGATGTTTTCTTTTAAGAGTTAGATTCCACATTTTAGCTGAGCATGAGACATTAGTACCGACTCTGAATAAGTAAAAATTTAAGTTCGTTACAATTATTATTTTTTTTTATAACTCTTTTAACTTATTTTCTTTTTTTCAATTATATAATTTTATGATATACTTATCTCAATTAATATAATTGGTGGATTTTATTTTTGACCCCTAAGTTGTATTAAATATTTGCGATTAAAAGTTTATTTAATTTTATTAAATTCATTTATTTAAAGAAAGTTTCTAAGATTTCACCCAACATAGAATTGTTTTATGAAAAAACACGTTTATTCATGAAATTTCTATTATTAAGTCAGCTAAAAGGTAGGTGTGACTCGTCCGTATAGGTAATAACTTTTTTCCTTCAAGTCTTTCTTAGTTATCCTATTCTCACAATCATTTTTAGATGTGGTCTCAGTTCATTCAAATACCCTTCCTTTACTCGGGTGTAACATAGTAGATTCGAGGTTCACTGATGAGCTCGAGGAAGAAGATCTTTGGTTAATTAAACTTCACTCTGTCAAAAATATGTGGGGCTGAGACTCGAATGAGGAGATATCCTTGCCATGAGTCCTATGTTTAAAAATACCCATAAAATTTCAAGAGGAGCAACATCTTTTACTTTTATAAAAATTTAAAAAAAAAGTTTAATTTTTTTTTTACCATTAAAATACAGATGAAAATCATCTACCCATATCACATTGTTTATTTTCAAATTTCGTAATGCTACTTTCGAAAGCTCTTAAGTATTTTTGAAACGTGGTACTACTAGTAAGGGTACATCCAAAATGTGGAGTGGAAAACAAGACAGAGATTCTCTACAATGAGACTGTAGACCAATTGAAAGGGATGTAGCGCAGCTTGGTAGCGCGTTGACTCTATCTTGATTCTATTCGCATCTGATTAATAAGCTATTCGATCTATCAGACTACGATAGAGTAAGAAATTTCAGTTGTCATTATAGTATAAGGATTTCAGTGGAAGAGAGCAGAGGTACGAGAGGAAAGGAAGACTCTTACCATCGATTCCATTGTTCTTTGTCACGGAGGTCCAAACAGGCCAGAAAGAAAATCAGATGACGATGATAGTCTGCCTAACTTGAATTCAAGGATAGAGTAGCCAACTCGGAGACACATCTACAATCCGGTGCGCCTATAGGAATCCACAAAGAAAGGATCCAATTAATCAAGATACATAATAAGGGTAAGGCTAAGATAAGGGCCTGTTCATAATCCCTATTCAAATTGCTTGCTTGACTGATTAAGAGAGTTTGGACGGGAGAAGAGGCTTTGATGCCGAAATGAAGGTACAAAGTGGATTTCTCATGGCCCTCCCAATAAATCATTTTTTTGCTATACTCGCATAAACAATAACCATTTTTTTTAGAATAAATAAGGAGTGTTTACAGGAGAGGAAATGAATTAGCAGAAAGAAGGAGAATGCATCAAGCAAGAGCTGTTCCTGAATAAATAGGTTCAGGGAATATCGGTTCAGGAGAGAAGACTCAGACAGAGGAAGGTTCAGGATAATTCATAAGGAAGGAAGGAGTCTCATTTCTTCTTCGATAGTCTTCACTCTCATTTCTTCTTCTTTCGTTCATACTTGAAACACTTTCAGGTTCAGTAGTTCAGGAGAGAGATAGTTTACGAGGTTCAGTAGTAATCCCTACAGGTGTCCTAGTTGGCCGGTCGCCCTACCTAACCAATCATCATATCGGTCCCTAGGCCCCATTGCTGGAAAGGCTCGGCTTCAAAACCGTACGTGGAGCTTCCGCCTCATACGACTCCTCTAGGAATGGAGGTAGGCCCAGCCTAGGCTTGTGCGGTTAAGGTTGTTGTACACGAACTCAAGAAAAAAAGAATGAAAAAAACGATGTTTCCTCGAGTCTTTGACATCAAAAAGGTTGTAATAACGAAAGAGAGAGAAGAGAATTTGATAATAGCTAGTGGAACAAAAAAGGCATGAGAGTGGTACTTGGGCCGAGTTCAGTAAAGACTGCTTGGCTGGCTACCTAGTGATTTATACCCCTCACTGCAGACTTTCTATCTATATCTGTCTACATCCAATCAAAGACGTCAATAGAAGCTCTGCTTTCTTTTCATTCATCAGCGGTTTTCTCGATACGAAAGAAAAGGGCTAGCCTGCATACATATATATATCAATCATTACATTAGCTGTTGCTTGCTGTATCTGACGGATGCTGTAAGGAAGGGTCTAACTGTACCGCTTTTCAGATGCAAATAATGAGATCACCCTCTTTCTTATTCATTCCACTACCGATTGATTCTAGCGATAATAGGAAAACCTCTTTCTTATTCATTCCTTTAATGATCCTTTGCCAGTAGTAAGTAAAGCCTATAAGGAAGAGACACCTTTTGATTGACTGATTTCATTCTTGTACTCTCTCTGGTAAAGCAGCTAATTAATTGACTTGATTAAATTAATCTGTTCTTTGCTCTGTTCTTTGCTTTGTTGTTTTGTTTGATATTCTCTTTGCTTTCAATCCTTCACTTATCTTATGACTGAGAGTGAACTATAACTTCTCTTTCTCTTCTAACTAACTCCTTAACTTACTAATTTAGCTTTTTCGATCAACCTATATGTGTGGTTCTGTAAACTCAGACCGAAGATTCTCCTACTGTAGGAGGATTCTTGACTTCACTCTTTTACTCGAGAGTAAACAAAGGAATAGAACAGAATGTTGCGGCTGAACCTTATACTCTCTATCTCTTTCACCTCTTTTCCTCTGTAAATAGGTTATGAATATGATGTCCTTGACTTTACGAGCTCCCAGCTGTACTCCTTCTTTGTCGTGAAGAAGAAAGATTAATGGATTGAACGAGGTAAACAGGTCGATTCCCTTATCTATTATTTATCCACAGTAAGTAAACTAAGAAAGACTGAACTTTAACAAATCTTTCACCCGCCCTCTCTCTTATTTATTCATATTCTACTGATCGGAAGGAGGTAAAGTCAAGTTATTTGAAGAATAAATAACCTTTCTTTACAGTAGAGGAAAGACTAAGAAGTATGAATAATAGTTTACCGTCTTTGTTCTATCTAGAATGAAGGAGTTAGCGGCTTTAGCTTTTCAAGAGTAAAGCGTAAGAAGAGAGAGAGAATGCGCGGGAACAGCGGTAAAGAAAAAGGAAGAAGAATCTGCCTTTCCTGTTGAGTAAAGAAAAGAGAAAGACTGAACCAACACCCGTAACCCATTTATTCCACCTCCTCGTAAACAAGTAAAGACTAAAGATCAAGCTAGCTACTGAACCTGAGTCAATCCGAAACTCAAGATGAATGAGACAGATTGAACTCAAACCTGTCCCTGAAAGTATTTCAAGTCTTCACTCTCGATTCATTCTTTAACTGATCTTGATCCTGATTCTTTGGTGTCAAGCAAAGGAAACCAAGAGTCTGTTACAAATATTAATAAATGGTAGGTCATAAGAGTAATGGAGTTGTCACCACTACGGAACAAGGACACGGTGGTCGAGATTACTACCCAAAATCTAAAATCCCATTAGGCAAATCTTGAAGATGATCTTCAAATAAAACGAAAAAGAGATTTAATCTATAGAATACCAGACAGTTCGAGAGCTCCATTGGCCTAAGGGGAGGCTCTATAGGGTACTTTGTTCGATGGGAGGATTGTTGAGGGGGAGTCCCACATTCGCTAATTTAGGGAATGATCATTGGTTTATAAGTAAGGAAATACATCTCCATTGGTATGAGGTCTTCTGGGGAAGCCTAAAGCAAAGACCATAAGAGCGTACACTCAAAGTGGATCCGTGATTCCAAACACGCGGATTGTCCATTGAAGACATGTTGGAAGATCTGCAGAGATCTTACGATAAACTTTGGAGCTCATAATCTTAAAGGTATTATTGAAATTTATCAGAGTAGGATTATTTTTTAGACCACGATATGGATATTTTTATTAATTTAGCTATAATATACTTTTAATAGCCTAAGTCCATCATTAGCATATATGGTTCTCTTTCGGATTTCACTTCCTCTTTCATGGCCCAGCATCCTTGGTGGCACTCGTTCCCCTCTCCAACTGATGTGGGATCTCACAATCCATCCCCCTTGAGGGCCTAACGTCCTTGTGGCACACCACCTGGTGTCTGGCTCTAATACCAGTTGTAATAGTCCGAGCACACCACTAGGAGATATTATCCGCTTTGGGTTTTTCCTTTCGTGCTTCTGCACAAGGTTTTGGGCTTACCCTTCTCGGCTTTCTCATTATGCGTCTACTATGGGGAGGGTCTAGCCTTACTCCGACCAGTGTCTCGCACACGTCACGTGACTTTCTCTGATACCATTATAACAGCCCAAGCTCATCGCTAACAGATATTGTTCGCTTTAGCTTGTTATGTATTATTGTCAGCCTCACGGTTTGGATTGGGGAACGAAGCATTCCTTATATGGGTATGGAAACCTCTCCATAGAAGATGCATTTTAAAACCGTGAGGTTGAAGGCGATACCAAAAGGGCCAAAGCAGATAATATCATCTAGCGGTGGGCTTAGGCTATTACATATGGTATCAAAGCTAGACTCCGGGCGGTTTGCTAGTGAGGACACTAGATGACAGGTTTCAGATTCAACCGACCCAAATTTGAACCTGTAAATTTCTTCTTCCTTACTCGACTCATTACAATTTTTGGTGCCTTTCTCTCTCCTATTTTTCGCTCGCCTCTTCTCACTCTCCAACAGAAATCATTCCCTAATTTCTTTGGTTTGTCTACTCTCGTAGGTCATGACGACAAGAAAACTTACACAAGGAGACGGTCGTGGGATCAGTGCCAAAAACACAAACTTGCTCTCAGACTCCTCTTTGACGGTTGTCACTCACTAATTGCTCTGGTCCTACGGCCATGATGACAAGAAAACTTACACTAGGAGATAATCAGGAGATCAGTGCCAAAAACAAAAACTTTTTGTGTATGGTTTCAACCGACAATTTAAGGAAAACAATGGCTTACCGACTTGAATACTTGACATCGTTGGTCGTTTCTACTGCTATTTGACTGTCCTTCATCGTTCATTAAGTATGTAACGACCCATGCCTATGATTCGAAATCCAAATTCGACACCTGTTGGCTCTGGCATTCTCGTGCAACATGGTCACGTTACCTACTCCTCGCTTCTTAAGAATGAAAACTATCTTCACATACCAACACAAGTTCTTCCAGCATATTTTTGTCCTCACTCACATGCATCCTAAAAAAATTTCTAGATGTCACCCAACATAGAATTGTTCCAAGAAAAGCATACTTAACCATGAAGATTCTTATGATTGAGTCACTGGAAAAAAAAAAGGTGCACCTTGTTAGTATAGGTAGTAACTTGCACTTCCTTTAAACTTTTTTTTGTCATCCTACCTCCATGACCGCTTTCATTCAGATGTGGTCTTAGTTCATTCATGTACCCCTCTTTTACTTGGGTGTAATATACCCACCAACTTTCACCTTAGTTCGTCCCCAAACTACATCTTAATAGGAGAGGTCTGACTCTAATACCATTTGTATTGATCCATGCTCGGGATTCAGAATCCAAATCCGACACTTGTTGGTCCCGACATTCTCTTACATCTTCTGCAACATGGTAAGGTTACTATTCACTTTTTTAAGGAAATGTTTGTTTTACGTTATGGAGAAAGATTTTAATACTAGAAAAGTCTTTTCCCAAGAATAAAAAAATGTGCCGCTTTTGTGCAATCTCTATCCCATGCAAATGATTGGGGTTTTAGGATTGTTTTTATAATATTAAAAAAAAAAATTACTTTTTTATTTTATATTATTTCTTACTCCAATTATTTATTTTTCTCCATTTTCTTTCATTTTAAATTCTTAAATTATTTAATTTGTTGTTTTTTAATATGATTTTTTTTTAAAAAAAAAAATCAATTATTTATGTTTATTATTGTAGACGCGTGGAAAAAAGAAAAAAAAAATGTAACCTCCCTAATTTTGTTACCATTTAAATTTTAGCTAGAAATTAAATACCAAGATATTATAGTAAGTTAGTAGAAAAATTATTTAAAACGGCCAAACAAAAGTAAGGGAGAAAAACAGAGTGGTACAACATAGAGAAATTATTATTATTCTTACCTAGTGAATATAATGTTATAACAAATAATATTTGGATTGAATGAACCAAGCGGCATGAAATAATATTGACATATTTTTAATTTAAGTTTTACTATCAAATACAATTTAGAAACAATGAAAACATGAAATTCGATTTTTGTTGAGTCAATTAAATTTATGTTCAAAATAGGTAAAACCTCAATATAAGTGAGAACGAATTCGAATAATGAAAGCAAGCAAATTATGATGCATGAGGTATGATGATGTATGAGTTATGATGATTTATGAGCTGTATCCCGTATACTAATATATGATGATGAATGAGTTTGTCTAGACGAAAACCATGTAACGATATCTCATTGGTTATCTTCAAATTTCTTAATGTTACTTCTGAAAGCTCTTAAGTATTTTTGAAACGTGGTACTAATAGTAGGGTAGTTTTGAAATTTATAAAAAAAATGTTTTATAAATATTAATAAAGGGTATTTTGAATTTTTTTTTTAAGTTTAAAATATTGATTAAATTTTTGAAAATTTATAGATATTTTTAAAAGTATTTTTTTCTTTTTTAATTTTAGGGGATGAGAATAATTAAATTGAGTATGCAAAGGAGAGGAGAATGAGAATATTTGAATTGAGTAAGCAAAGGAAAAAGGGAAATGCTCGGATTTGAATGAGACACATTCTTGGGTGTGAAGCAAACCAAACTAAGGATCGGTTATAAATATTAATAAAATATGATATATATGTAAACTATAATTTAGTACTCAATATCCTTAACAAAAGGGTAGGTCATAAGAGTAAGGGAGATGTTACCACAGCAGAACATAGATATGGTGGTCGAGATTACTACCCAAAATCTGAAATTCTATTGGGCAAATCTCGAAGATGATGGTGAAATGAATCGCAAAACAGCTTCAATCTATAAAATACTAGAGCATATAAAAAAGGTTAATCCAAACGCATTCAAACCGCAGCTGGTATCGTTCGGCGCATTTGTTGCAATTGGAGAAGAATAAACATTCAGCACTTAATGACTTTGAAATGTGCTGCAGATTGTTCACTGAAGACATCGTGAGTGAGCTGTGGGACATGTTGGAAAATCTGCAGAGATCGTATGATAAACTTGATGCTAAATGGAAAACAGAACCAGCCAAATTTTTGGAGCTCATGATCTTGGATGGTTGTTTCATGGTGCTTCTCTTGTCGAATGATACCTGTCAAGAGATAACATGGATGGCGCGAGATATGTTGCTGCTTGAGAATCAGCTACCCATGATGCTTCTTGACAAGCTATATTCCATAACAAAGTATGTCTATCTCTACTTAGCTCAAGTCCATTCCTTTTTAAGTTCCTTGTGTAAGTAATTTTTGGGGAAGTCTGGAAAGGAAAGTCCAAAGGTGACAATATCTACTAGCGGTAGACTTGGGTCGTTACACTAATAAAAGTGTGAAGTGGTTTAAAAATCTTGAGGGGAAGCTCGAAAGGAGAAACACAAATAAGATAATATTAGATAGTGGTGGAACTTACCCGTCATTGTAAAGGAACATTTAATGGAGAAGAAGTACTCGCACCTTCTAGATATGTATAGGGTGGAATTGCAATTTTACCTGGGGGAACGAAGAGAAACTATTTCAAATCAGCAACGTGGAAATGAGATTCAGCCACTTGGGAATGGGTCATGAGATATAAAGCTAGGATCAAACTCAAGAAAGGGTTTAACCTTAGAGACGTGCATTTTGATGAAGACAAAGGTGTGTTGATTCTCTTGTTCATCGAAATGAATGCTAACATTGAATCAGGCTTATTGAACGTGAACGTGATGACATTTGAGAAGCTTTTTGGGATTGAGAACATAGTAGGCTCTTTCATCATCTTGATGGGTAATCTACTGAAGAAAGATGAGGTAGATTCATTCAATCAGCTGGCCAAAGGCACGGTTTTGCCCATTTGGGCTCTACAATATAGTGAATAAGCATTGTACAAGGCCATGGAGAATATGGTGGACGGCTCTCAAAGGTGTCAACTTTCAAAATCCGTGGACCATTATCTCTACTTTTTCTTCTATGATCGGTTTTGCGCTCCTTATTATCCAAACCGTATACGGAGTGTATGGTTACTACCTCCCACGTCGATCTTGATCCAACACCACTCATATGCTTTGGTTTCAATCAAGTTTTAGTTATTTTCTTTTTCTTATTTTTATTATTTACGTGTTTGTTTATCGATATCTTGTCTCTGATATTATCTTCATGATCTCAAGCTTCAAAAATTTCTCACTCCAAAGTTGTCCCCAAAACTCCCCAGCTCACATCTTTCTTGTACGTACATAGAAAATCTTCCACAATTACATTCCAAAACAAGATATACGTGTAAGAAAAAAAATGTGATAGAATTTGTTGTCATCATGCAATTCACTTAGACGTTGTCTATAGCATATGAACACTAAAAACAGAAAAAGGAGAGGTGTGTGCACTTGTTTGGAGGAAGGTTTGGCATTGCATGTCATTTTTGTAGTGATAGGACGCTCTATGCACCATTTCAATACTACTCGTCGTGACTTTAGCTTGAGCATAGTAGCACCCACGCATTGTCTTTAAGAAACAAACGAAACCTTGACCCAAAACGCACTCTAGAACCCACATGGCTTGAGGGAGAGATGAACTTGGAGTAGAAGTCGAGGCTCCTACTTTGACAAGTGGGTTTTGAGGGTCAACTCGATCTAACCCCGAAACAAAATTTGAATGCCCGTAAGTCTAACTCTTCACATTAATACATGAGAAAGAAATCCATTATGACTTGTGACAAGAGTTGTATGGTCTATTCAATGTCGTAATTACTCAATTGTGTGCATGAAAATTGTACCAAAAGTGGTGTACCTTACTTTTTGTACTACCATTCAATTTTGTACGTGGAAGTTATATCAAGAGTTATGGTCAGAGTTTATGCTCTAAAGTCCCGTGATTAATTATTAGTAGTTAATTAGTAGTTCTGTTACGTATTGATTTCGAGAATCGAACAATGGGGTCGCACCCTCTAACTAGCCCTAAAGGAACTTAGTTTATGGTTGGATCATAATTTTTTTTTATTTTATTAGAGAACAAGTGATACTTAAGTGAAAGATAGGTAAAACGGACTTTTTGATACCGCTGTAATTATGCATAACTCTCGAAGGATTTATATTCATAAACACAACCTATTTTATGCGGTATAAAAATAAATTTATAATTGAGTTCTTTAGCATTAATAAATGAAAATCTATTAAGAAATATTTTAATTAATTTTATATTAATGATGTTTAAAGGTATTATTGAAATTTATCATAGTAGGATTATTTTTTAGACTGCTACAAAATTTATAAATATTTTTATTAATTTAGCTTTTAAATATTTTTAACATGCAAATTATAATAAAAATTATGTTATTCTAAACGTGCATGTTATATAAACCTATATTTCATACGTCCATTTTCATTTTTTTTTTAAAAAAAACATTAATTTCTCTAAATCCAAAATTTTAATTTTTTTATTATTCTTCCCTAGTGAATAAAATATTATAACAAACAATATTTGGACGGAATGATTCAAGCAACATGAAATAATATTGACATATTTTTAATTTAATTTTTACTATCAAACAATTAGAAACAATGAAAACGTGGAATTCGATTCTTGTTGAGTCAATTAAGTTTATGTTCAAAATAGGTGAAACTTCGATATAAGTGAGAACGAATTCGAATAATGAAATCAAGCAAATTTGGAGCTAGATAGAAATGTGGCTAAAGCCAACCAAGTAAGTGGCCTCACTATAGGATATGCTAGAAATTGTATGAGTTACAATTTATGGTGTATGAGCTATGATGATGTATGAGCTGTATCGTATGATGTCGTATACTAGTATATGATGATGTATGAGTTATGATGCTTGAGTTAAGATGCTTGATGATGTGCATAATATATATAGTTTGATATATGACGTACTTGATATGCTTGATGCAATTTATGGCGATATGATGAGTATGATGATTGCATGACGTTTGTCTTAATATAGTGATGTTTTTCATATTAAGCATGCTATATGATAATGAATGCCATATTGCATCATGTCAATAGATCGACATAGGACACAATCCTAAGAGCATGAAAATGATATTAATATAAATATCCAATGAGCATGTGTTACTTAATGTAACAAAGAGATGAGACTAGAGGGTTGTGTCAGAAGAGATGATAAGATGACATTTAGAGGGACCTCATGCATAATGTATGTTCATAAGCATAGGAATACTTCCCCAAAGACGATGAGTGTGAACACGCATAGTATGATGATGAGGGTAGTCTTGGGAGCAAGACACCAAGGGGTTGCACTGACCTCAGAACGTCGCTATAGATTAGCTTGACCAGAGAGGGTCCAGGGGGTATGCGAGCCCCCTAGAGATTCACACTCGCACGTGTGAGTTATGTGTAGGGAAGTACTACACATTCATATTAGTCTGAGACTGGAGGCCACCCCTAGAGAATAGAGAAAGGTCCCAAGAGCATGATGACATGTATTTGCACTTGCATGACCCCTATAGTGGGGCCACTTACTAAGTATTCTTCGAAATACTCCGGCTGTGTGTCACATCATTTTTCATGTAAAGGCAA